TTATTACAAGTGTTGCTGTGACCCCCTAGGAAAAAGGTTATGCCCCGCCCTGTACCTCCCTCTTTCATTATTATTTTTTTATAAATAACTCAAGACAGCGAACCTATGCAATGCTCCTTCTCCCTCCTATTTTCCCCAGTCCTGTGAGGTGAGTTGGGTTGAGAGACAGTGACTTGCCCCAAATCACCCAGCTGATGTTCATGGTGAAGGCCGGGACAAAGAATTCAGATGTCTCCTGTTATTGGCTCAAAGTCACCCAATGGGCTTTCAGGCTGAAGGCAGGACTTGAACTCATCATCTCCCGCTTCCTTGCCTGGTGCCTTAATCACTGATCTTTGTACATTGCCCAAGTCATTGTTGTGAGATGGGTAGCCATATAAATCAATTAAATAAATGAATAAATGTTATGGCTTTTTCCTGATAAAAGTTGAATACTGGAGGGTGTTTAACTAAAAGAAATAAAAGTATAGTTTTTAATTCATTTTTTGGGGGGCCCCACCTAAGTTTTGTAGTAGGGTGTGTCTTAGAAATGGCAACTTCCCCAATCTGAATGCAATCCTCTCTTTGGTAAGGCATAGACTTAACTTTAACAATGATTAACATAGCTTTTGCTTTTCCAAAACTAATCAAAGACAATACCTACCTATAAGGTAATCATTTAAAAAGGGATGCAGTGGCTAAGACGCTGAGCTTCTCAATCAGAAAAGTTGGCGGTTTGAATCCCTAGTGCTGCATAATGGAGTGAGCTCCCGTTACTAGTCCCAGCTTCTGCCAACCTAGCAGTTTGAAAGCAGGTAAAAATGCAAGTAGAAAAATAGGAACCACCTTTGGTGGGAAGGGAACAACGCGCCGTGCGCCTTCGGCGTTTAGTCATGCCGGCCACATGACCACAGAGATGTCTTCGGACAGCGCTGGCTCTTCGCCTTTGAAACGGAGATGAGCACCGCCCCNTGAGCCGGTGAGATTTGAACAGCCGAACTGCAGAACTGCAGTCAGCTGAAGTAGCCTCCAGTGCTGCACTCTAACCACTGCGCCACCTCGGCTCTTTAAGAGACTAGAGGCATTTGAAATGTGGATTGACAGGTGGCCGTTAGGTATCAGCTGGGTTGACAAAATCAGAAAGAAGGAGGTGGTGATAAGCCGGCTGGGAAAGCCAAGGGAAATCATCAAAGCCATTAAAAAGCAAAAGTTAAAATATTTCAGACATGGGATGCGACACCCTGAAAAATACGCCATCCTTCACTTAATCCTCCTGGGAAGGTTTGGAGGCAAATGAGGTCTAGGCAGAAGAAGAACATCATGGCTTCAAAATCTGAGGGACTGGTTTGGACAACACTCAGCAGCACTTTTTCGTGCCTCTGTTGATAAAAATAGGATAACTTATTGATAACTGTTGATAACTATTGATAACTGTTGATAACTTATTTCTCCTCTACCCTACTCTCCTCTCTGCATGCTTTCCTTCTTTCCTCCCTCCCTTCTTTCCTCCACTCCTCTCCCTTCCACATGCTTTCCTTCTTTCCTATCTTCCTCCCTCCCTCCTTTCCTCCTCTCCTCTCCGCATGCTTTCCTTCTTTCCTCCCTTCCTTCTTTTCTTCTCTTCTCTCTGCATGCTTTACTTCCTTCCTCCCTTCCTTCTTTCCTTCTCTTCTCTTCTCTCTACATGCTTTCCTTCTTTCCTATCTTCCCTCCTTCCTTCTTCTCTTCTATCCATCCGTCTGTCTTTCCTTTCTCCTCTTCCCTTGCCTTCTCCTCTCTGCATGCTATTCTTCTTTCCTATCTCCCCCCCCTCCTTCATTCCTTGCTTAAATCTTTCTCCTTCCTTCCTTCCTTCCTTCCTTCCTTCCTTCCTTCCTTCCTTTCCTTCCTTCATCCATCTATCCATCTATCTTTCCTTTCTCCCCCTCCCCTCTCCTCTTTTTCCTTTTCTTTCCCAGGTTCCAGAACCTTCTTTGGTCCCGAAAAGCATTCGTGGACAAGGTTAAAGTCTACAACCAGAGCTACATCTACATGCCGGCTTTCTCCATGAAAGCAGGGACCGAGCCTTCCCTCCGAGTCTACTACACCCTCACCGACGTCGGAGCCAAGCAAAAGGTCATCTTCGCCAACCCTAACTTCCTACGGGACAGCGGCAAGTTTTGGAAAAGCAAAGGGATTCACGCCAAACGGCTTTCCACCGGCCTCTTCTTGGTCAGCGCGGCTCTCGGTCTCTGCGAAGAAGTGACGATTTACGGTTTCTGGCCTTTTTCAACGGACCTCCATAGGCGGTATATTAGCCATCATTACTACGACAACGTTTTGCCAGATTCCGGCTTCCATGCCATGCCGGAGGAGTTCTTACAGCTGTGGTTTCTCCACAAGAGAGGGGTTTTACGAATGCAGCTGGAGCATTGCGAAGACTCTTGAGTTTGCTCTACGAGGAACACCATCGGCAGAAAGAAACAAACCAAGAAACATTGTGGGTGGGAGGGAGGGGTTTGTGGGAACAAAACAACCTTTTAACAAACGTGCATGGACTTCAATTCATAAACTCAACGCCAACCGAAGACTTGAGATTTTATGGCACTGATGTGGGAGCTCCCCAGTGGATATTAGTTTGCATATATTTATTATATATATATATATATGCAGAATGCAACGGTCCGTTGGGGAGCTTCTAAATAGGAACCGAAGAGTAAACAAAGGGCTTTCAACAATTGCGTGGAATATTTCCCGTTGCTCAGATATACAACGGATTCCCAAAATTACTGGGAGATGCGTTTCATTTGCTTTTTTAAATTTGTTCCCGAGGCTGGATTTCCAAAAGGTGCCTGAGTTTCATTTTCATTTTGTTCACAAAAGTATTGAAAGTATAGCAGAAGGGGCCACGTTTTTCTCCTCCTCCCTGAAAACAGCAATTTACTTTCAATAGTGTATTCTACAAATTTTGTAGCATAAACGGGGGTTTTAAAAAAAGGGAGAGAATTAACCAAGGGAAATGTTTTTAGCCATTAGATTTTTCTTAGCAACGGTCGGCAGTTG